ATCCGTTACCTTTACTTTCCAGGTACTGATACATAAAATCCCATAATTAACATAAAAATACCACAAATCTGAACCTCTTCCAATGAAAACACATTTTCTATCCACACATGCAACTTTAAAATACCCAATTGTTTCTTGCAGAATCTTGAACACATTAGAACCATTCTCGAAAGTCATTCACTCTTATTCAAACCGCAAATTAACTGACCTAACGATCAGAACCACCTGTGCCTCATTGGCACTCCGACACCGCAAAATGAGATCCCCATCCCAATACAACCAAGCAACTTCCTTCTCTATGCACCGAACATTCTTTAACAACAACAACTCTAGACATTCCGTGATTCTCATACCCTATGAAGCATAATATAACCTTTGCCAATATTTTCCTTTTCTTGAGCCACAGCTAATTCACCTGCACGCCTCAAACTGGAACCAACATAGCACCTAACCGTGTAATCAACTGCTCACAGCAGACTCCCCCACTTGGCTCGAAGCCATAGATCAAGACACACTCAACCACTCATAACACTTTTACTCTATTGATGCCACAATGTCGTAGTGAGATTAAACTCAAATCATTTACAAGTTTGTGAAACACAGGTCATCCAGTACTGTAAATCTTCCGCAAATCTCGCATTCAACCCCGCAATAGTCAAGCCCACTCTCTTAGCAATCCGAAATTTCAAATTTCAACACGTACCCTTCCATTACACATGGGGCCTTCTAACATACGCATAAGGATCACACCACTTCGGAACACTCCGCAGGAGATAACCCACCTGCTTCGCCTCAATATAACATTTCCATATACCTTCCACCGTCATACACATTACACAGCCACTTAGTCTTCCTGAGTCTGAACTCATACCGCACATGAAATTTTACTTCACTCCCATCTAGGAGACACGAAAAGATTCTTCACGCGCCCGAAACTCGGAGCTACACATCCAATCACAATGGAATCATACACTTAATAGTTCATTTATCATCCCGCAGGCCTTTCTCGTCACTTCCAAGTTACATAGATACATCCCGCAGTACTAACGTACTCATCACATGGCCATTCAACCGTCACTTCCACTAATAGGGACACTGCCGAACATATAAGTTCAAAACACTTACTCACACAATCAGCACCTCAGTGCTCAAGCCATAGGCAAAGATCCGGCCTCAAGTCCTCCAGACTGGCCCAACATCAAGCTCACAGAGATCACACCTCGCCCCCTGATCGGGGAATCACAAGCCATCAAGGCACATCTGATACTGAGCGCTCATGCGCGCATACAAACGCGTGGAAGGAATTTCAAGAGTTTCTTTTCAAGCTGAATCAAAGACGCACGATAAGAATTCAAGAATGTGAAGTTTTCCTAAAGGTTCTGTAGCCTCTCGAGGATAAACCTGCTCATGACTCGTGAGACCTAGTAACCTAGGCTCTGATACCAACTTGTCATGACCCAAACCCCGCACTGGTCGTGATGGCGCCTCTCGTGAAGACAAGGCCAGCCAACTAACCCAACTCGTCTCTTTCAAAAATAGTTAAGCATAAATGAACAGTAAAAATATGACTTAATAATATTAATTAACGAAATTACAACCCAACACAGCCCTAATCGGTTTGTCACAAGTCACGAGCATCTATAAGAATGTAATTCCACTTTACAAGTCTGGAAATACACTGAACAGGAATAATGAATAACATAGAAAGGCAGTGGTGCTGCGAACGTTGGCAGTCACCTCGCTAAACCTCTACAACTCTGCCTCCACGCAGCCAATACCCGCTACCGGGTGAATAAATACCTGCAACTACACGCTAGGTGCAGGGAGTAAAGTGAGTACTCCAACTCAGTGAGTAATAAAGGTAAATAACAGCTGAGCAGTAAGAAAACACGTAAAGCAACCAACATGCTGTATAGAAGTCGGGTACAATTCTCTGAGAAAACAGTGAAAACTGTGAGATCTTTAGAAATATCTTGGCTCAGTTTAAATCTCTTTTGAAAATGATCCTTTCAACAGTTACGAAATGATTTCAAAATAGTTAGTGCTGATAAGCACAGAAAAATCCGCCCCTCGGGCACGAATACCACAGTATAACAGGTAAAAGGGCAAATAAATATGCAAGATGCGCACATAAAAGTTCGCCCCTCGGGCAATATCTCAAAACAGTACCAGCCCCTCGGGCTCACTCTCAGAAACACTCTCAGCCCCTCGGGCTCTCTCTCTCAGATCACAATCAGAACAATATCCTATAATAACCGCTACGGCGTGCAGCCCTATCCACATCTCGCTGCGGCGTGTAGCCCGATCCATGTATCGCTGCGGCGTGCAGCGCGATCCATATATCGTCGACGGCGCTCACTGGGGGTGTGCAGACTCCGGAGGGGCTCCTACAGCCCAAGCGCTATATCGCTGCGGCGTGCAGCCCGATCCAATATATATATATCGCTGCGGCGTGCAGCCCGATCCAATATATATATATCGCTGCGGCGTGCAGCCCGATCCATATAAGTATCGTTGCGGCGTGCAGCCCGATCCTTAATATAAAACCCTCACATCCAAGCCCTCAGCCTCATATCACTCAGTGTATCCTCACATCTGGCCCTCGGCCACACTCAGTCAGAATATCATCACAAGCCCCTCGGGCATTAGTAAAACAGTAGTGCTCAGCCCAAATAACAGTGGAAATATCATTTAAGTCTCAAAGTTCAATTAAAACGGCTGAGTTTGTAAAACAGTATAATCAACAGGTCTAAGTTCAATTAGTATGTCAAATAGTGAGGAAACAGTGATAAAATCCCCGAAGGGTCCAAATAATTGGCACGAAGCCCAACTATGGCAATCAGCCCAAATCATGATAATATCAAATAAGTTTCAGTTAAATACACGGTAAAATCATCAATCGGGACGGACCAAGTCACAATCCCCAACGGTGCTCTACCCCACGCTCGCTATCCGGCGTGCAAGTCACCTCAATATAGCACTACGGTGTGCAAATCTGGGTTTCAAACCCTCAGGATATCATTTACAATCATTACTCACCTCGAACCGGCGAAATCTCTAGCTCGCGACGCCTTTGCCCCTCAAATCGGCCTCCACGCGCGTCGAATCTATCCAAAATCAGAGCGAATACATCACAATATGATAAGGGAACAAAGCCCAAGCGAAAACAAACAATAACGGGCACAAATCCCGAAATTACCAAAACCCGAGCCCCGGGCCCACTTCTCGAAAATCAGAAAATTTAACATCATCGGATTCCTTATCTCGTCACGAGTCCATACATATAAAGAACATCCAAATCCGATCCCAAATGACCCATCAAATCCCTCTTTAAAATATCGAATTCCAAGCACTAGCTTTTCCCCCTTTTTGATGAATTTCCACAATTTCTATGTTAATTCTACTATTAAATCATGAATTTAGGTCAAGGAACTCACCTCCAATCACACCTAGTCGAAATCTCCTTCAATTTTTGTCCAAAAGCTCTCAAGGTCGATCAAAAGTGGTGGAAATAACCCTTAGCTCGCGGAACAAAATGAGCTTTTAAAACCCTTCTCTGAACAGTCCTTTTCGTATCTGCGGTTGCTTCACCGCATCTGCGACTGCCGCTTCTGCGGTTCTTCCTCCGCTTCTGCGGATCTTTATTAGGCCAAGGACCGCTTTTGCGGTAAAATATCGCTCCTGCGGACACCGCTTATGCGGTCAACCACCCGCTTCTGCGGAACCTCCCACACACACATGGACCGCTTCTGTGGTAAATAACCGCACCTGCGTGGACCGCACCTGCGGAATCCTTCCGCTTCTGCGGAAATTCTCCAACTGACCAACACTTGCATCTGCGCCCAACCCTTCGCATATGCGGCCCCTTTTCCGCAGATGTAGAAATACCAGGTATCAGCAACACCAACAATGCACAAGTTCAAAATCTATCCCGATGGCCATCCGAAATCACACCGAGGCCCCCGGGACCTCAACCAAAAGTGCCAACCCTTCCTAAAATATCATTCGAACTTGCTCCAATCATCAAGAAACCACAAACCACACCAAAACCATCAAATTACATCGGATTCACGTCTAAGTTCTTCTAAAACTTCCGAATTACGCATTTGATCAAAAACCCGACTAAAATACCTCCGAATGACCTGAAATTTTGCACACACATCCCAAATCACCTAACGAAGCTACAGAAACTCTCGGAATGGCTCGGATCAAAATCTCACCCCTCAACCGGAATTCGCCAAAATACTAACTTCGCCAATTCAAGCCTAATTCTACACCGGACCTCCAAAATTACTTCCGATCACGTTCCCAAGTCACAAATCATCTCCCGAAGCTAACCAAATCATAAAAACTCCGATCCGAGCTCATATACAAATAAGTTAACTCTTGGTCAAACCTTTCAAATTCAAGGCTCTCTACTGAAACTGTTCTTTTAAATTTATTCCAAATTTTCCTGAAACCAAAACCAACGATCTACATTAGTCATAATACATAACACGGGGCAAGTCATGCCCGAGAACTGGCGATCAAAGCGCAAAAGTTCAAAACGACCGGTCAGGTCGTTACAAAGTGTTTATCACCTCCAATTGCATCTTGATGGACTGCAGTTTGTTTCTTTGAAAAAAACTGACACAATTGACAGTATTGTGAAAAATCCTATGATTAAGAAGACGATGTTGACAGAATTCTTCTTGATGAATGAAACAAATAAAGATGCTAAACAATTGAAGTTATTATATAAAGATTTCCCATAATATTTCGTATGGTCATCTACGTACAAAATGTGGACTCGACGACAATGAGGTAATGTTATTGGGCGAGTTGTAACGTGCCATCCAATAGAAGGAGAAAGATATTACCTTAGATTATTACTAATAAATGTGAGAGGACCAAAATCATACGAAGATCTTCTAACAGTAAATGGGATATGTTGTGACACATTTAGAGAATCTGCAGAAAAAAGAGGAATGTTGTATTGTGATAATAGCTTGATTGATTGTATGTCGGAGGCTGCTTGTTACCAAATGCCTTATAGATTAAGACGTTTATTTGCTACGATATTAGTATATTGCAATCCTACCAATCCGAAGGAGTTGTGGGAACAATTTGAAGATTCAATGTCCGACGACTTTAAGAGTCTAGAAAATATAACCACAAAAGATATTCACCTTGCAGTCCTAAACCACATCAATGATATACTACATTCTATGGGGCGTGATATTAACGAGTTCAACCTTGTTGCAGAAACTATCAGATCTTCAAAAATGGCAAATGAAGCGAAAGAAGTATATTTCGAAAGAAACATCATTGTTAGTGATGAAGATTTATTTTTACATAGAAAATTAAATATTGAACAAAAAAAGGCATACGATGCAATTCTTGATAGAGTATTTGGCAACAATTCAGGAGCCTTTTTTATTGATGGTCCTGGAGGAAGTGGTAAGACATTCTTATATTGTGCGTTGTTAGCAACTGTGAGATCAAAAGGATTTGTAGCTTTAGCAACAAAAACCTCTGGCGTTGCAGCTTCGATCCTTCCGGGAGGATGGACGACTCATTCACGTTTTAAATTCCCGATTAATGTGGATGAAAAGTTCTCTTGCAATATCAGCAAGCAGAGTTCACTTGCATGTTTGGTTCGGGATGCAAAATTAATTGTGTGGGATGAAGTATCGATGGCAAAAAAGAACATGATTGAAGCATTAGACTCTCTTGTGAAAGATCTTATGGACACAAATATGCTTTTCGGTGGAAAAGTTGTTATTTTTGGAGATTTTAGACAAACCCTTCCAGTTGTTCGAAGTGGTAAAAAGGAAGACTTTATTCGGGAAAGCATACTAAACTCTGAAATATGGAATCATCTTGAAAAACTACGACTATCAGAGAATATGCGTGCAAAAACTGACCCTCTTTCTGTGAATATTTGATGCAAATTGGAAATGGAAAAGAAAAGACAAACATGGATGACAAAATAAAAATTCCGAGGTCTTTCAATGTTCCTTATATTACTGAAAAAGAATCGTTGGATCTCTTATTCAAAATAATATATCCTGATTTGCATACTTCTTTTCATGATTCTGTTTTTTTTAACTTCTCATGTTATTTTGACGACCAAAATGACTTTGTTGATGAATTAAATGATAGGCTTATAGCCCAATTTCCTAAAGATGCTAGGACATTTATTGCAACTGATGAAACTGTTGAACCGACTGATCAGAGTCAGTTTGAAGATTTTTTACACTCATTGAACCCTGCTGGTTTACCTCCTTACAAATTAACCTTGAAAGAAAATTGTCCTGTTATGTTGCTACGGAACTTAAATCCTTGTGAAGGTTTGTGTAACGGTACACGACTCATATGCTGTGATTTTAAGAGTCATGTTATAAATGCTAAAATTGCGAGTGGTGATTTTAAGAATACACATGTATTTATTCCCAGAATACCATTGTTATCATCTGACGATGAGAAGTTGCCTATCCCATTTAAAGAACACAATTTCCATTACGCTTGTGTTTCGCTATGACGATAAATAAAGCGCAAGGACAAACATTAGATTATGTTGGAATCTACTTGCGCGAGCCAGTATTTTCTCATGGACAACTATATGTTGCTTTATCAAGAGCAAAGAGTTCAAGCTGTATAAAAATATTAATCCGACCAACTACAGCCGATAATGATGATGATCAGTCTACGTATAACATAGTTTATGATGAAATCATTCAAAAAGCTCTTCTATAAGTTTGTAGCTCTCTTGTTTATATTTCTTGGATAGCCATACATTCGTCTTATTGACTGCTGGTGATCATTTACTAATTCTTAAAAAAAGGGGGAAACAACTTATAATGTTCTTTAGTAGTTATTGTACTTATTGTTTATTTCAATATTTTTCCTGGAGCTTGAAATAATTTCTTTGCAGTTTGGTATCCACTAAATAAGAGTTGGCTTATATACTTGTAAATTGTTGCTAAACTTTTACTATTCTCGTATAGTTTTTTATGCACAGTATATAGACCAAAATGTTTACATTATCAAAATATCCATATTAACAAATACAAAATTGCAAAGCTTAGTACATATTTTTTTCATTTTTATTAAACTCTACGAAGATAACCTAGCTGATCCTTATCTCAATAAAAAAAATTCATATTTTTAACTCCGTCTGTGTTAAAGTTATATTGTGACACAGCCGGTCCCAAGCCCGGACAAAGGAGGAGGGTTTTTCTGTTTATTAGAAGTTAGATCTTTCAGTGCTGTGTTTAATTTGTTGCTTCAATTCTACTCTTTGTGAATTTATTCTTCTCTGCTAAAATAAAGTTGCTTAGTTGCCAAACAAATTTTCATGGCTAACTGCATTATTTTCTTTTGTATTTTGCAGTTAGGTAAATGCTATCCAGTTGCATTGAAGAGTACAACCTGATTACCAGGTAGTCAAGGACAAAGTATCACTTCTCTTCTCTTAGGGCTCACAACATCTATATCAATAATGGCAAGATAAAGATCCATCACTCAGGTCCGACGCTTAACCTTATTGAACCTGAAATGAATGACACGTAAGCTATATCAAACTACACGGATGGTATAACCATTTTTAAAAAGGCGACAGTGTATTAGCAGAGGTTTCAACTTTGGAAGATACACTACCGCTTTTTTAACAATCGTTATATGTTGTCAAAAATAAAACTCTAAAGTCAATTCTCTTTCTTCTAATCTCTTTATCTTCTTATCCAGGTATGCTTTTTTTTTCAATTTTTGATCACCGATGGACTGAATGGCTATTTAGAGTTTGTTTTCTTCAAAACTATACTGTAGAGTAACATATAGGTATTACTTTCATAGAGGTATTTTCAGATCCTCTGACGACTAAATTTTTTGGACAGAGACAATGGCATACATCCTAACACCACATGTTTTAAAATATAACTTTGTCATCACATAGGTGAGCTTCATCTAAAATATTTTATTTTACTGATTTCTCGAAAATATAAATATCTTCTGCTAAAGTTTATCAGACGCACAATTAGAATCAATTACAATCCCAAGGTACCAAAGGTAGCAGTCTATTATGCTGGAGTAGTATCTTCAATTCTTGGTAGGACATATTTTTAGTTGACAGTGGTGATCGCTGGCTAATACATGAACCAATCAGATGGGTTGATTTAGAGAAGACAGACTACGAACCTTTATTTTAGGGGTGACTGAAGTATAAAATGATTGAAAATGTTACTACTGTATTGTTAATAGTTTCCAGGATTAGCTGTTTAAAAAAGAATTTATTTAGCTTAACAGTTTCAGGTATCTACTAACATTCCATCTTGAAGTCATCTTCTGAATAAACATCTGAGAGCCAGGCCATTTTGTGAATCACTACTAAAAATAGTTGGTGGTAGACTGTTAATATTGGACAACTTTCTCCATCAAATATCAGACCAGAACTTAATTCTGAACAGTGTAAAGGACACTTCAGCTGAAGTGAAGCAACTGGAAGATCAAGCAGTATAATGAAAGCTGCATGCAAGAGCTAATGAAGAAAGAGACACAGTTTGGAAGTGGAACATAACATTGCTGAACGAAGGAAGAAAGTTGAAGTTGAGTTACAAGAAGCTTTAAAAGAGAAAAAGAATATGAAAATGATGGAAAATATGTGTTCATTAGTAGAGCGACTGTACAAAATTTTTCTCTATTATATCATTTTCCTTTGTTGACAAATTATCATTTCTCACTACAAAAGACGCAAAAGGATAAGTGGATTGCCTTTTATCGTATTAGTACTTGGTAAGGCCTTCTAATTATAACCCTTTCATCATTTTGTGGTCTGCATCAATCTTTGGCAGCCCCCTCATGATTAAAAGATGTCCATTTACTTTATATATACTATTGAAAGTTACTCTTTTATTTCAACACATGCCAAATTTGATCCTTTTGATTTTTTATTATAGTTCTATATTTGATTCTATATCATATATATCTCTCATTCTATATTTATTTCAAATTCTAATTGTTTAATGGAATGGTTAGTTATATATGCCAAATTTGATCGCCAAGATCCTAAGAAATAAATCAAACTACTTTGTTTGTCATATGATACCATTTACACTATAGTTTTTCTTTCAATTTCAATGACTATGATACCGTTTTGATCTTTTTCAAGAATATATGCGTCAATCCTATATACCGTGTGTACTTTGTTTTACTTTTTAATCTTTTTCATATGTGTTATATATGCCAAAGAAGAGGCATCTAAATAAAGTTTTTAACTCTGTACTGATTACCTTGAACTTCGTTTCTACAGAAGAAGACGCAGCTAAGGCATGGCATTTCATAGACGAGCCTGCTTTTACTGATCTCCATCGGTTAATCTCTTGCTTTAGGCTTTTGATTTTTCCTATGTTACTGCTTGTATTGAGTATACACATGCAAAATGACTTAAAGTAAATAAGGAACACTGAGTTTCAATTTGTTACTCTAGCTATAATATTGTACCACTCTTTCTGTTTCACTGCTACATTATTTACACTTTTCAAATGTCGGTGATAATTGTATAACTAGGTTGGGAACTTAACAAGAACTTATATTATCACATGACGACTAAACTAATTGTACGTAATCTAAAGTACCTATTCATTCTGCTGAGTGGTGAAGTACCTCTTTCTTTGCCATATCTTATTGTAGGACTTAAGCATGAATATTTCCATAATTAGGTTATATTGTTAAGAGTTTGAGCAACGTGTATATAAGCATCAAATAAATTTGAACAATAGTGACGATTTATTATTTACGTAAATGTTAAATTTTTCCAATTTTAAACCTTACTCTATTGCACAACTTTGTTATAATGGAACTTCTCATGATAAATTCAGCATTATTTCACAACAATGCTAGCTTCGGTTATGCCATAATTGGTGAAACATATGACGAAATACTAAAAACTGCCTTTGCTTCCAGTTCAACAGGTATGAATTATTTTATATTTTTCAACTGGAGGTCTTGGTTGGTTTTAGTTTGTCCAATCCCTATTGTGAATGAAAATAAATTCATTATTTTTTGGTTCATACTTTTCATTTTTCACTATTTAGAAATCTTTTTTTAGATTGGTGGAACTTTCCAGTTCTTCTGTTGAGGCTTTGACTGCATAGCCACCCAATTAAATTTTATATTCTTTGTTAAGGAAGAAGAGAAATGCAAACTCTGCGGTACTGTTAATGTCCCTGTTCTTGCTGATGATATTAGCTTTGATAGCTGAATTAGGTTTTGTTTTTAGCTACCGGGAAATGTTTATACCTGATTGCTAACTTTGCATAGTGGCCTGGTTGAATGAATCGTGATGTATCAGTTTTCTGAGTTCAATTTTATTTAACTGTCGTGTTAAACAACTTTTGTTTTGGACAGAGTCGTAGGATATTTACTGTGTGTACATATCACCAACTAATGCAAATTAACAATTAAAAAAACGTAATATATCGGGACCCCTAACTTAACACATTTTATTTAGTACATACCTAAATTAGTTATGGTCTTAATTAGCCCCTTTAAATTCGGCCCGAATGACCTCAGTCAAAGGAAGAATGATGTATTCGCTGCCACATGTATACTATTCGTCCACATGGCATGTTTGATAATAAAAAATTATATTATTATCTTTATAGATTCGTTAATCATTTAAAAAAATCTTTTCTAGCCAAATTTGTCCCAAAAAAAACATGTTTGGAACTTCATTATATATTAGGCCTTTTTTGGGTAAACATAATGGAGCTTCACTTAAGGTTTTTTCCAACTTTAGAGATATAAGTTTTATTTAATGATTGTGATGTATAAGTCACATTCACTACTTGCGATTTCTAAGCCGTTAACTAAATGTGATTTATAAGTCTCGTTCGGTGCTTTATAAGTTGCGTTTGCCGATTGCAACTCACTCGCACATGCAGATTGCAATTTATGTCGCTTAAGTCGCATACACGCGGATTGTGAATTACAAGTCGCATATGTGGATTGCGATTGCATCCGTGGAATTTTATAAGTGGCAACATACCTAATAATAGTCAGGTAATATACTACTCAGTAGAATATTTCTTGAGTAAAACAAAAATTCCTCCTCTTTTAACATTCTTCAGTAGAGTTATTCAGAATCCCGGAAATAAAATGAAGAAGAAATTCAAAACTTGACACCAAATTAAGAGCACATAAAATACCAAAAGAAATTAGAAAAAAATAAACTTCATCGTTTTTAACAAAGGAAAATACAAATATATCTCTCACCCGAAGAGAAAAGTTCAGCAAAAATCCCACGTTAATATTTTTTCCAACTTTAGAGATATAAGTTTATAAATGTATTGGGAAAAATTATATTTATATATAAAGGTGATGTGTCAAGACACGTGGATTGGTCAAATGGTCAAAGAATTACAATTAGCCAAGAGGCACGAGTTGCAACAGATACGAGCAAAGGCAGAGGAAGAGGCACGGGCAGTCAGTCAAATAACTCAGCGCTCGTACCTATTTATGTCATTTATATCCGAGAATCAGAAG